TATGGAGAGGAGTAACATGATGACACGCACACACACGTACACTCACGTACACTCACGTACACACACATATACACGTACACAGACAAATTCACAATCACAAATATATCAATTATAATTATTTTTATATTTTACGATCGTTCATGATACATACATACATACGCACACACATACATACAAAATACATACATACATACATACATACATACATACATACATACAAAATACATACATACATACATACAAACATACATACATCAGTTGGAACTCGAAACAGAAGAAAGTCGAATGGTATTGCAGCGATGGCGTCTATAAAGAACCAACCTAATGATGGTGGTGATGATTGTGATGGTGATGATGATTTTGATGATGTTGGTGATGATGACGATCATCACCAACATCATCATCATCATCATCATCATCATCGTCGTCATCGTCTCCACCATCATTCTCATCACCACCATCATTATCATCATCAGCATCATCATCACCACCACCACCACCATCATCATCATCATCCCTAAGACCTTTGATGTAGTTGATGGCGATCTTGCCAGGTTCGCTAACCACCTCCCCATCGCAGAGGTAGGTGGTCCGGAAGTTGATGAGGATGTCCGCGATGAACATCGCGTCAACCACTAGGTCCACAAGCGCCAGGATGTTTACGCTCGATGACGATTTCAATGATGATGATGATGGTGGTGGTGTTGGTGATGATGATGGTGGTGGTGTTGGGGATGATGATGGTGCTGTTGGTAATGATGACGATTGGGATAATGATGTTGATGATGAGGATGAAGATGATGTGGAGGTTAATGTTGATGACGTCACAGATGTCGATGAAGAGGAAGAAGAAGATGATGATGATGAAGTCGATAATGACGTCATCATGACGTAATAAGACGGCTTATCGGAGTCGTTGGAGTTGTTATCGTTGTTCGAGTTAAGAAATTCGAAAGACAAGTCGACAGGTGATGATGATGATTGGGATGATTGTGATGATGACGTTGGTAAATTTAATGACGGTGATGATTGTGATGGTAGTGGTGGTGATAGTGATGATGGCCTTGGTGATGATGATGATGGTGGTGTTTGCAATAGTGAAAAAATTGAACTTAAATCATCGTAGTCATTATTATCGTCGTCGTTTTTTAAGCTTATATTATTATTATTATTAATATTATTATTATTAATATTATTATTATTATTAATATTATTATTATTATTATTATTATTATTATTATTATTATTATCATCATCGTCTTCATCATCGCCAATGTTCCTAATGCCGATGACTTTTATATCATCATCATCATCGCCGTCGCTATCATTATCACTACTGACATTGTAAGCAAAATTCGCGGCGACTGTGGTAATGATAAGGCTACTACTACTACCACTACTACCACTACCACTACTACTACCACTACTACCACCACCACTACTATTACTACAACTACTACTACTACTACTACTAATATTACTATTACTATCACTACTACTACTACCGCCGATACTAGAAGTAGTAACTCTGCTGCTACCACCACTACTACCACTACTACTACTACTACTACTACTACTACTACCACCAGTAGTAGTAGTAGTAGTAGTAGTGGCAGACGTGGTAACGTTTGTGGAATGAAAGGCGGCAAAGTAGGGTGTAGCCAGGGCGATGTAGAGAACCAAGATGAGTGTTATCCAATCCCAGACAGCCTTGAAGGGGCTGTAGTGCAATATGACACAGGTGGGTAGGCTAGGGCCGGCCGTACTCGAACTCTGGGTCACTATTCCGCTCTTGTTGTTGTTGTTGTTGCTGCTGTGACGATGTTGTTGTTGAGATTGTTGTTGCGGGTCTGGCGATGAGATGTTGTTGTTGTAGCCGAAATCTAGCTGTTAACATCGTTGTTGTTGTTGTAATTTTCAATGTAATTATTTCAATGGAATGAAATGGCCATATTATTAGTGTAACGTTAGCATACTTAATATATCTGCTTTTGATGACAATAGCAGATACACTAGTATCATTGATAGTATATCTGCTAGTATATCATCATTAATGATACTAATGCTATTACTGCTAATCTAATCAAAGATGTACGGAGATAAAAGTCACAGTTTTGGAAAAAAAACTACATTTTTTGAAAGAAAAACAAGCCATTGAAAAAACTGTTGGCGATTTAAATTATCTATTTAAACTATCAACCAAATCTTCATAGGGGGTATTATTCAATCTCTTGCTCGGATTCAGGTGTTTCAACAGCCATGAAGGTCACAATAAATATTTTCCGCTGATAATATTCAATAACTATTCGTCTGGAATCCAATTGTTAATTATGGACATCGCATTAACTTTACAGGAATTGAAAGTAAGTTAAATAGCATTATTCAGCTATTCAGCCTTTCAAAATGGCCGAGACTACAGTTCTATTACTATTACTACTACTACTACTACTACTACTACTACTACTACTACTACTACTACTACTACTACTACTACTAACTTGTCTAGAGGCGATTGAAGACCGACTATCAACATTTAGACCAACGCTGGGGCCGAACAGGGCTGAATGGTCTTTTGATTCGTTTAGGGCCCTTAAGAGGGCAAACTTTTTGCGGGCCTATAATCGAAATAGTTATGATAATTATAATTATCATCATTATAATTATAATAATTATAACTGTAGTAATTATATAAATTATTATCATCTAAGAAAATAATGACGGTTATAATATCATATTTGGAATTATAAAAATACCATAGTTATTTTATATACGCATGACCACCTTTGTCATCCATTCCCTCATCATTATCATCATCACCATCATTATCATCATCATCGTCATCATCATCATCATCGTCGTCAGCATCATCATCCAGGGAAGATTATACAGCTTAGGTTATGTTCATGTCTATCGTAATTACTCTTCCATATAATAAGGTACCCATGGCTATCATCGTCGTCGTCGTCATCATACTACTACTACTGCTGCTGCTGCTACTACTACTACTACTGCTGCTGCTACTACTACTACTACTACTACTACTACTACTACTACTACTGCTGCTGCTGCTACTATTACTACTACTACTACTACTACTGCTGCTGCTGCTATAACTACTACAGCTGTTGCTACTACTACTACTACTACTACTGCTGCTGCTGCTGCTGCTGCTTCTACTACTACTACTACTACTGATATGCCAGTGTATGCATTTTTATTCGTTTACTTAACATTTTGATCCGTCAGTCATTCATAATAATGGGATGATATCGGTTGATTAGCCAATTAGATTATTGTGGATGAATGAATGAATGAATGAATGAATGAATGAATGAATGAATGAATGAATGAATGAATGAATGAACGAATGAATGAATAAAAGAATGAATAAAAGAATGAATAAAAAAATGAATAAAAGAATGAATGAATGAGCCAAAAATATATGCATGAACGGAAAAACAAAATAATCCAAACAATTGAATGAAAGAACGAACAGTAAAAATGAACAAATAAATCAACGAACAACCAAATGAAAATCAATCAAAATAAGGAACAAACAAACAGACAAACAAACAGACAAACACACAAGCGAACAAGCAAACAAACACACACACACAAACAAACAAAAACACAAATAAAAGAGAAAATGGAAGAACGACTAATGAAAAAAAAAGAATAAAATTCGCCCGCCCTATCCGCCATTGAATAATTGAAGAGAAAAGCTACGGTTGTTTAACATATGTGTCCGTACAAATACCCACACACACACACACACACACACACACACACACACACACACACACACACACACACACACACACACACACACACATACTACAAACATAATTCTACCAACAATCATGCGAACGAACGAAGACAATTCAATGGTCAAATATTAAAAACGCATTCCTTCCACGCGTGCCAAACAATCAACCAGTCAATCAGTCAATTATTTAATCATACGATCTTTCAATCAATCATTCAGTCATTCATTTGTTTGTTCATTTATTTATTTGTTTGTTTATTTATTTATACATTCATTCGTTCGTTCATTCATTCATTCGTTCGTTCGTCCGTTCGTTCGTCCGTTCGTTCATTCGTACGTTCATTCATTCATTTATTCCTTCATTCATTCACCGATACGCCTCATTCCATCTGTCTATCAATCTTTCTACTAAAATCAATAAAAACAGTTTAAAAAATTTTAAATTACTGTCAACTCTGGTCTGTATGCACGTTTGTATGTATGCATGTATGTTTGTATGTTTGATTGTATGTATGTATGTATGTTTGTATGTATGTATGTTTGTATGTATGTATGTATGTATGTTTGTTTGTATGTATTTATGTATGTGTGTATGCATTTACGTCTGTCGGTCTGTCTGTCTGTATGTGTGTATATCTATATTTCATATTCATATAAGCTTTTTTTCGTGCATGTAACCTTTTGTTTGCATTTGCATGTACGTGTATGTATGTACGTGTTTGTATGTTGTTATTATCATTGTGATTACTATTAATAAATAAAATAATAAATCATAAAATCTTTCAATAAAAAAATTACAAATTAATTAAAAAATACATAATTATATTAGAATTACTTTTTTTTATAAATTACAATTTATTTTTTTCCATAGTACATGTTTGTATGTATGTATGTATATATGTGTGTGTTTGTATGTATGTATGTGCGTGTTTGTATGTATGTGTGTGCGTGTTTGTATGTACGTTTTTGTATGTATGTATGTACATGTTTGTATGTATGTATGTGCGTGTTTGTATGTATGTGTGTGCGTGTATATGCATGCACAGCTCGTTGTGCACCGAGATGTACACTAACGTCGATGATGTACACTAACGTCGATGGCGTACACTTTTTTAGCAGGCCGACCTATAAGAGAGCAGCTAGGAAGACGGGAACGTGAATAAAAGATGAAGGAAGAAAAAATATATACAGACAGACATATAGACAGACAGACGGACAGATAGACGTATGTTAAGTTTATAAACAAATAGAAAGAATGAAGGAAAGATACTAAAAAAAACAGCCGAAATATTACTACCACTACTACCACTACAACCATTACTACTACTACTACTACTATTATTACTACTACTACTACTACTACTACTACTACTACTACTACTACTACTACTACTACTACTACTACCACCACCACCACCACTACCACCACTACTTCAGTGTTAGTGGTGATGATAACGATAAATACAGAAAGAAAAATTAGAAGAATGGTGAAGATGATGATAATGATGAGGAAAATGTTCCCAACAAGCCAAACAAGCAGCAGACAAAAATATGAAAAGTGAACTTAAACGAAAATCAGCCGCTATAAAACTGAAACCAAAACTAAGGCGGATGCCATGAACACAAAAAGAAAATCATAAAACATAAACAAAGAAATAAAATAACAAATGCATAGACAAAAATATGAAGAACATACACCAAAACCTAAACAATTACAAAACTATAAGCAATGAACTAAAATCGCACAGAAACAATAACAAAGGACTAAAAAATAGCAAAAATACAAGCAAAGAACTAAAAAGAAACCAACTAGAAAACCAAAGAATTACAAAAACATGAACAAAAATAACAAATAATAATGAAACCCATAAACATAAAACTGAAAAAATCATAAACAAAGAACTGAAAAAAAACATAAACATGAGCAATGTCACGTGTACTTCCGGTTTTTTCATACGTTTTATGCGATTCTGCAATTAATGTTTATAACTCGGGGTACGCCATTTTGTCTTTCTTTCTTCCTTCTTAGTTTCTTTCTATCTTTTTAGAATAGATTTTTTATATAGTTAATTTTTACAATTTAACAAAATTAACGTATTTAATTATTTTTATGGTTGTTTTTATTAGCTTGTTTGCATTTTGTTTGCCATATTTTTTTAAAATTGATTCATATTTATCATTTAGTCATTCATTCGTTTTTTTATTCTTCCTTTGGCTCATTCGTTCGTTCATTCGTTTGTATGTTTATTTGTTTGTTTGTTCGTTCGTTCGTTCTTTCTTTTTTCGTTTGTTTGTTCATGCGTTTGTTCATTTTTTCATTGTTCGTGAGTTCTGCAATTTGCACTTTTACAATTTGTCGATTTTTTGTTTTACCTCGCTTCGTTCGTTTGTTGGATCATTAGTCCATTAATTAATTAATTAATTCATTCATTCATTCAATCAATCATTCATTCATTCATTCATTCATACATTCATTCATTCATTCAGGAATAGTAGTAAATAATAATTGATGAGTCTAAAAATAGATGACCTTGGATAGGAGAGTTGAACTCGACATGGTGGCCGTGTGATCATCAGCTACTTTTTTCGTTGATTTGTACATTGAGGTTTTGTTGCTGTTGTTGTTGTTGTTGCAGCTGCTGTTGTAAGATCTCATCATGATAATGATGGCGATGATGATAATGATGGTTCTGGAGAGAATGATGATGATGGTGATGATGATGGCGATGATGATAATGATGACAGAAAACAAGACTAAACAAAAAGTACACATAAGAATGAGCAAAAGAAGATGACGACTACGACGACAATGATGATGATTGTGGTAATGTTGTTGATAATGATGAAAGTGATAATGACGATGACGAGGGCGATGATGATGTCATCACAACCGACAACAAGGCACATGCCACACACTTACTGTTCTTTAATTAATTATTTAAGCCAAGCTTATAATTTTAAATTCGAAAATTTATTCAAATGGGTCATTCAATAAACTAACTATAATTAATAATTACAATTAATTAATTCGTTAATTGATTAACTAAAACAATACAATCAAACGATAATTTTCAGTTATTTTGCCTAGTTTATTAATTTTAATTTAATTACTATTAAATTTAAACATACAAACAAATGTATTCATACATGTGTACGTATTTTTTGAAATTCAAAAATGAACTGTCTCCCTCATATCAGCAAATGCAAGATATATAAAAAAAAGATGTTTGTTTTTCTTCATCATTGATACGAGAACATTTTTCTTTGCTTATTTTTTTGTATGTTTGTATTGTTTTGTTTGCTTTACGTCGCAGAAATGCGAATTATACATGTATACAAAATGAAATACAACCTCATATACGTTCATACAAAGTAGATATATATATATATATATATGAAATATATATATATATATAAATATATTATATATATGTGTGTGTGTGTGTATGTGTGTAAGTATATGTATATATGTACATAAAAATAAATAAAAAATATATATACACATATTAATGGGCATTCTTATTCATGGATACACACATATCATTGTAAAATAAATTGTGATAACAAAACAAATATAATTATACAATTGATATATCTATGCGTAATTATAATTATGATTACGTCATAAAGAAGAGTTTTTTAGAAGTTAATTAAATAACCAAATTAAAATACTAAAATGCCTTGCCTTACAGTTACATACAGTTTCTGCGTCTGTCGGATCCTGATTTTTAAAGAATAATAATAAAATAAAAATAAAAAAAAATAAAGAACGCGCCCCCTTTATGACAAATATTTTGCAATTTCCATGGGAAATTTTCTTCTGGCGTGGCTTTGGATTCTGGAAGTAGAAGAAAATGCCGAATAATAGAATCCATATTTCTTCTGTTCCGGCGGATTTTGAAATTATTTTGAAACTATTCGTGGAAAGTGAACGAGTTGGCGGAGGCCGCTTACAATCGTTCGATTACGACGATGCTAGGCAGGTTGCTACTGTGGAGTTTGTAGAGGAAGCTAGTCAGCCATTTTATTTTTTAATTAATTTTTATATTTTTAAACTTTAAAGTTGAATATTAAAATATATTCAAATTATTTTGTTAAATTTTTTAGGGTTGGTATGTTAGATTTAATTTTTCATCAAAACATACCTCTTTGTGATCATTTTTAATCATTGTATTCAATGGTTTGGCAATTATTTAATTTATTTTATGTAAAATTTAATAATATAGTCATAATGGATAACAAGGCTAATACTGAATACAACAATACAATGTAAGACAATTTATATTATATTGAATATACATATTATATAAAATATACTAAAAATATTATTGATAATAGATTATAATTTATTCAAAATTTATTACTCTAGTTGCAAAACAATTCCTGGAGAAATCCGAAATAATAATTTTGAGACACAAAATGCCTGTTTTTCCGGTTTGTAATGAATTGGTTTGTGGATAAAGTTACAAATATAGACATGGACTGCATGTTGGAAAGTTCTAAAAAGGGTGGGGGTAAATTAAGTTGTAAGCATACCTACTATGAACAGCAAAAGTGTGTCGAGGCTGTGTTTGAAGATTCTGAAAGTCAGTGCAATCTATTTTCTTTTTTTTTTCTTTTTTTTTCTCTCTCCCTCTTCTTATATATACACATTTTTTTCTTAGTTTGTCTGTGTTTCTCTCTCTTTTCTCTCACTTCTTCTTTTTTTCTCTTTGTCTCTTTTATTCTGTCTGTTTTTCTTTGTATATTTATGTAAAAGATGTTTTACTAGATTATTAAGTATTTCAATTTTAACATAACATTTCAAATTCACAGTTGCCAAAGCTTTCATAGAAAGGGGCAAAATAGAAATTTCAAAAAAAGATTTCATCCTCTCCAATCTTCCGCCCCAGATATATTTGCCCCAAAAGAAATTTAGAGTAGGTAACAAGGTTGTTGTACAAGATATAAAACCACCAAACTCTGCTAAAAAACTTGGATCGTTGGTTACCCCACCGAGGAAAGAGATAACTAATAAGGAGGCTGGCGATAGTCAGAAAAAGCTGGCGGACGATAGTAAATTCAAAAAAATTGTTAAAAATGACGGAGATGATGATCGTGATAATGATGATAGTGATGAAGATGAGGATGATGTTGAATGGGTGGAAGCGATAAATGATTTGAAAATTTGAAAAGATAAACTTTTAATCGGTTAATGCCAACAATTCTGTGAAATCCATCAACATTTTTATATTGCCTTTCAACATATATCAATATATTATTGTTAAAACATTTATAAAACACCATTTCTCAAAGGCGCTACCACGTAAGTTCACCATTACAAAAACCAACAACAATAATCAAACCTGATAAATTAATTGCAGTTCCAATAGATAGTACTTCCAATAAACTATTCTCTAAATAGATGCATTCATATTCATACCAATCAATCAATCAATCTTCGTTTTGCGTCCAGAGACCCGGTTTCCCGAGGTAGGACCATTCAAACCAATAGTCATTCACCAAATAATAGAACCAATTAAATACATACACTAAAATGTATGTATAAATAATTATTTTCATTTATATATTTTCTTTTATATTTTTATATATGTATATATATATCGACTTTTTATCTCAGGCTGGAGGATTTGAATTAGCTGTCTCTGCCAGTTACACGTTTGCAAATTGGTTCGCTGTTTGGAATGTTAAGTTTTATGTTTTATATTAAAACATTATGATTTATAATATACATTTATTTTCTTTGGACCAAATGTCCTTTGCTTTGTATGTAACTTCACTTTTCCTTTTCTGTTGATCCGGTTGATAAAAAACAAGTCGAGAACGTTGCCTGGTTTATTTATCTTCTTTTAATGTCTTTCAATATTATATCAATTAATTAAACGATCTACGTAACAAGAAATTTAACAGGTTATGGGACCCAGATAACGTTTTTCTTAATTAATTGATTTGACGAAGAAAATTTAGAATAAAGAAATATCGGAAGATTCCTTTGTGAAGACTGAAGTGAAGAAAAAACACGTGCTTCTTCATTCCCTGAAATTCGATATTTTGCTTCTAATTAAAAGGTAAAATTGAAAGACAAGGAAGAAATGGATTCAAAGCTTCAAATAAAGCAGTTAAGTTGCGCAGCCGATTGGCCCATTTGGAAACGTCGTGTTCGAGATTTCATGGACTACCATGAGGGCGCACTTGATGTGATTGATGGGAAGTTGTTGAAACCAGAATTACTAGAAAACCAAACAGAGCAACAGGCAAAAGATTTTAAAAATAAATCAGATCTGTTTAGAAAGGCAAACAGTTATGCCAAATCAGTAATTGCAAATGCTGTCACAAGATACATACCAAAAGATAATGGACAAAAACACAGCGTTTGAAGTTTGGGAGAAATTAAAAAGAAATTTTGAAGCGTCAACTAAAGACCAACTGTTCCAAGTATGTAGCAATTTTTTCGATTTCAATTGGATAGCGGATGTAGATGTATCCGGCCATATTGCAAGATTGAAGACTTTATGGAACGAATTAAACAGTGGGCTTCAGGCATCGAGAGAAAATAAACTACCAGAGCTGATATTAGTATGCAAAGCGATGCAGATTCTCCCAAATAGTTTCCAAAACTTCAAATCAAGTTGGCTAATGCTAGGTGAAGAAAAGCAGTCGATAGATGATTTAATCACTCATCTCTGTGCTTTCGAAAGAGAGATAAAGACTTTCGACAAAATCGATAAATCATCAAGGCAGAATGCCTTAGTTGTAAATGTTGAAAAGCCAAGTTTCAACAAATCAAGAGATTTCACTGAAAGGACAAAACCAGTTGGTAATTGCAACTATTGCCATAAACCTGGACATTGGGTTAAGCAATGTAGAAAGTGGGTCAGTGATGGAAGACCTTCAAAAAATTCCAAAAATGCTTCATCAACACCAAGAAAAGCATATGATGAAACATCAAATGTAGTTTTGTGCACGTCAGCCAGTAATCAAACACTGAGAGACAATAAGAAATCACTAGTTGCTATGGAATCAAGTGTTTTTGCAATTGATGAGTCAGCGTACACTGATGAATGGTTTTTTGACAATGGTGCAACGTGTCATCTAACTTTCCGAAGAGACATATTTCAAAGTTTTGAAAAATTTTCTCAACCGAGTAAATTATATGTTGCAAATGGTGATACTGTAGAAGCTTTTGGAAAAGGAATTATTCATCTTCAAGTGAAAGTGAATAATAAATGGCAAACTGTTAAACTTACAGATGTCTTGTATGTGCCAAAAGTAAAAAGAAATTTGTTCTCAGTACTTGCAACTCAAGATAAAAACAGAAATAGGTCTTTTGTTTCAACCTCGAGAAGTTGTCATCTACTTATTGACAATGTGACAAATGTTGTTGGAATAAGAAACAACAATGGAGGTTTGTTCAAACTTGTTGCAAAAACTGTTAGACCGTTGAATTCTGAAGTCGAAGTTAACTTTGTCAATGATCAAGATGCATTGCAGTTATACCATGAAAGAATGGGACATCAGAATAAGTAACGTGTTAAAATGCATCGATCAAGAGATGTTATTTTTGATGAGAAGGTTTTGTGTTTTGATGAAAACACAATCCAGATGATTCTGTTGAACGTTTTAAAGCCAGGCTAGTGGTAAAAGGTTTTTCTCAGAAAAAGGGAATTGACTATGAAGAAACCTATAGTCCTGTAGTCAGAAGTTCAACTATAAGAACACTATTAAGTGTTGCTGCAAATGAAAAAATGTCACTCATGCAGTTTGATGTGTCAACAGCATTTCTTTACAGCAAACTAGATGAAGATATTTACATAGAGCAACCTGAAGGTTTTAAAGATAATTCAGGAAGAGTCTGTAAACTCAAGCGAAGTCTCTATGGACTTAAACAAGCTCCAAGATGTTGGAACAAACGCTTTGCTGAATTCTTGAAAAAGAGACATTTCAAACAAAGCGATGCAGATACTTGTTTGTTCATTAGAATACAGGGAGGAAAGAAACTCATACTTGCACTGTATGTTGATGATGGACTAGTTGCAGGAACCGATAAAGAAGGACTAAAAATATTTGAAAAAGAATTAAAGTCAGAGTTCAAGATAACATCTAAACCTGCAACATATTTCCTTGGATTAGAGATTAATCAAGATGAGAAGGGCAATATTAATGTCAGTCAGTCATCCTATACAAGAATGATTCTTGAAAAGTTTGGGATGAGTCAGTGTACATCCTGTACAACTCCGATTTCAAAATTTGAGGAGTTCGATGAAAACAAAAATGAACATGAGGAAGTGAAATTTCCTTACAGATCAGCAGTTGGTGCATTGATGTACTTGATGACGGGAACAAGACCAGATATTGCATATACAGTTGGAGTAGCATCCAGAAGTTTAGAGAAACCCAGCAAGTCCAATGTAGCACTAGTTAAGCAAATTTTCAGATATTTGCAAGTCACAGCTGATGTCGGTATTGTTTACAAGTCTGGTCAAAACAATACACTTATAGCCTACAGTGATGCAGATCATGGAGGAGATAAATCTAGTGGAAGATCGACATCAGGTGTAATCTGTATGTTTGGAGGAAGCGTGATCAGTTGGTTTAGCCAACGTCAACCCTCAGTTGCGATTTCAACTACTGAAGCAGAAATCGTTGCCGCAAGTGAAGCAACTCGTGATGTGATATGGCTCAAACGATTGTTGAACGACATTGTAGATCTAAAGAAAAAGCCAGAAATTTTTGTCGACAATGAAGCAGAAATTCGTTTAGCACACAATCCAGGACTTTACAGAAGAACAAAGCACATCCACATTAGACATTTTTTTGTCAGAGAAAAAGTTGCAGAAGAAGTTTCAGTTGAACGAGTTGCGACAGAACTTCAAGTTGCTGATGCTCTGACAAAACCAATGGTAGGACCAAGACTAAAGAATCTGATGTGTGCGATGGGTCTTCAGAACATTTAGGTTAAGGTCACCTAATGTTTTAAATATAATGAGAAGGTGTTAAGTTTTATGTTTTATATTAAAACATAATGATTTATAATATACATTTATTTTCTTTGGACCAAATGTTCTTTGCTTTGTATGTAACTTCACTTTTCCTTTTCTGTTGATCCGGTTGATAAAAAACAAGTCGAGAACGTTGCTTGGTTTATTTCTCTTCTTTTAATGTCTTTAAATATTATATCAATTAATTAAACGATCTACGTAACAAGAAATTTAACATGGAATAGTTTTCCACCGGCGTTGAAAAGATCTGGACTTTCATTGGAATTATTAAAGAGAAACTTGAAAACATTTTTATTTTCTGTTAAACTTAGAAAATTGTGACTTAATTTTTGTTTTTCATATATAGTCACTTACATTTTGTTTTTAACGTGAGCAGAGCACTCACAAAACAGTTTTAATCAGCGCTAACAAACTGCTCCTAATGATAATATTATTATTGTGCATAACAAACTAATTCCAGCCATTACCATCTGTAATTAGCCAAAGCCATTCGCATTGACATACAACAATCCCTGATGAACAAACAACAAAAGATTTCAACAATACTCCCGATAAGAAGAGCAATAATAAAATACACTAATAACACCAATGAAGACTGAAGAAAGTAACATTGACCAAAGTGCTATTTTTCAATGGATAATTAAATGAATAATCAAATTCTTTTTCTGTATTCTTCAAATTTTTTTTTCTGTTATTCCTATTCTTAAAAACTTATCCTTAGATCCTTCCTCTTTATCTAATTATCGACCTCTTACTAATATTACTCTCATCACTAAAACAATAGAAAAAGTAGTTTATAATCAATTGTCACCTTGCTACCTGTAGCTCAATCTGGTTTCAGACCTGCTCACAGTACTGAAACTTCTTTACTCAAAATACTTAACGATATCTTTCCCTATAGTGGCAAGAGTAATCCCACTCTTCTTCTTGCTCTTGACTTTTCCTCTGCTTTTGATACTGTTGACCATACTATTCTCTTGAGGCTGCTACATCTTTCTTTTAATATTACTGATTCTTGTCTATCTTGGTTTTCTTCTTAGTTCTGTAATCATTTTCCTTCTGTTGTTCTCAATAATTTTACTTTTAACTCTTCTATTCTTACTTTCGGGGTACATCAGGGCCCTCCTTGGCCCTCTTCTAATTATACTCTATACCTCTGAACTACCTCGTATTATTAATACTTTTTCTTTCACTAGTTAACTATATGCTGCTAATTCTTATATTTATACTTCTTTTCCTCCATCTAATCTCAATAGTGTTCTCTATGTCTTTCTTCAATTATTGCTTGGTCTGACTCTATGTGTCTTAAACTTAATCTTAAAATTTGAATTAATTTGTTTTAATAAATCTAAACGCTCTATTAATACTCCCCTTAATATCTTACCTAATTCTAAAACTTTCGGGCTTTATCTTTGATTCTAGTATGTCTCTTTCTTCTCAGATTAATAGTATTGTTAGAAGCTCTTACTTTCATCAACGTAGAATAAAAAAAATTGTTGCTTCTTTTTGACGATCATAATTTGCACGTTTATATATATGTCTCAATCTAAATTATTTTTTAAGTACTTATCAGATATATTAATTGAACCTAAACACCCCAGTTTACGATCGTCTTCTTGTTCTTATTTCTTCTTAACTCCTGTTAAACACTCTTGCTAAATCTGCGTTTGCTTTTTTTGGCCATTTTCTCTTGAACTCATTTATTCATTTTTTAAGTTTAAATGTATCAATGTTTTATTTCTAAGTTTATTCATAAAAGTTTAAGAACATTGAAGAATTTAGAAGACATTTATTTTACTCATTTATGTTATTGTGTTTTTTTGGATTACTTACTATGTTATTTCTTGTTTTATGGGAGTCAACCCTAGATAAGCATTTATTGCTAGGCTGACTCTTTCACTTTTATTGAATAAATGGAATTAAAAAAAAACTCTACCTACCTCTTACTACTTCTCTATCACTTACGAAGATCAGAGCGGATCTCAAGACCCATCTGTTTGCAAAATTCATTGAGGAGCGCTGTTGAACATCTCGAAAATAGCGCTTTATAAACTGATTGGTTGATTGATTGATTGATTGAAATTAAAATACTTAAAAAGTAGAACGCGCCCTTCATGACAAATATTTTGGAATTTTCAAGTAAAATTTTTCTGTGGCTTTGGATAACGAAAGTAGAACAATATGTCGGAAAATAGAATCTATATTTTCTCCGTTCCGGCGGATTTTGAAATTATTTTGAGACTATTCGCGGAAAATGAACGATTTGGCGGTGGCCGCTTACAATCGTTCGAGTACGACGATGCTAGGCAGGTTGCTACTGTGGAGTTTGTAGAGGAAGCTAGTCGGTCATTTTATTTTTTAACTAATTTTTTTTATTTTAAAAATTAAAGTCATTGAAATTATAATGAAATTGATTTTGTCAATTTTTTTAGGATTAGTGTGTTAGAATTATTATTTCCTCGAGATGTATCTCTTTTTGATCATTTTGGATGATCATCATAAGGATTAAGAATAAGATTAAAGATTAATCATTAATAATTAATTTATTAATGTTTGTAAATGTAAGTAATTTAATACGATTGAATAACAATACTACAATACAATACAATTAATATTATATTGAATATACAAATTATGTATAATATACTAACCAAATAACTGTTTATAAATTATGATTTATTCAAAATTTATCTTTCAAGTTGCAAACCAATTCCTGGAGAAATGTGAAATAGAGATTTTGAGACACAAAATGTCTGTCATTCCAGTTCCATGCGAATCAACGATTTTTGTGTATGACGTAGATGAAGTTATCAATGAAGACATTGACTGCAGTTTGGAAAGTTCTAGAAAGGGTGGGGGTAAATTGAGAGAGCACATCTACTATGAACAGTACAAGTGTGTCAAGGCTGTGTTTGAAAATTCTGAGAGTCAGTACATTTCTTTTTCTCTTTCTTTTTTCTCTCCTTTCCTTCATCACTCTCTCTTTTTTCTCTCCATCTTTCTTTCTGTCTCTTTCTCTTTCTGTTTGTGTCTCTCTGTATATTTACTTAGATTGCTGGGTAAATAAATATTTCCATTTTAACATAATTCAAATTCACAGATGCCAAAGCTTTCATAGAAAGGGGCAAAATAGAAATTTTGAAGAAAGATTTCATCATCTCAAACCTTCCGCCCATGATATATTTGCCCCAAAAAAGAGTGAAAGTAGTTGACAAGGTCGTTGTACTAGACATAAAACAACCAGATCATGTTAAAAAACTTGGAAAAGTAGTTACCCCGCCCAAGAAAAAGATCCCATATAAGGAAGCTGGTGATAGTGAGAAAATGGTGGTGAACGATAATAGAAGTAAAATAATTGTTAAGGGTAGTGGAGATAATGATGACGATGATGGGGATGATGATGATGATGATGAGAAGGAGGAAGATGAAGACGATGAATTCGAAAATGTTTCTTTTGAAATTTTTAACATTTCTGATAAACTGGACGAGAGAAGGTTACATGCTTTACTTAAGAATAGAAGGTACGGTGGTCCCTTGAGAACTTTTAATTTCGATTCCGTCAATAAAATGGCCCTCGTTGCATTTGAAGATGTCAATGGTTAAATTCATTTTTTTTCATTTTTCAAAAAATGTCTTATTCACGAAAAATTATTCTCTTTTTATTCTAAATTACTTTAAATCAATCGAAAATATTCAATCAAATAAATATATATTTATATATATATGTATATTTATTTGATTGAATTTTAAATAATTCAGTTTCGAAATCATTCGCAAAGAACGAAAGAATAAACATAACAAACGAAATCCATTTTGATATACGAAAAATTCCGTCATTCAAAAGTAGAAAACAATCATCATCATCGTTGTCGTCGTCGTCGTCAGCTTCACCTTCAAGAGGTCAAAAGTCAAGGTCAAAAGTTCAGCATCAATTGTCACATAATAATGGAAATATTGGTGAAGGTTCGTCATCGTCTGCCATTCCGTCTATGCTGGAATGTAAAGACCGGTACATTATTCTTTTTCCAAATATTTTTGATATTTTTTAGTTATTTTTTTTTCACAATTTCACGCTAATAAAATTTGAAAAATTATGATAATTAGATTTTATAATTTGATTTTTAAATTTGAAAAATTATTTTTTTCCCAGATCAGAGCCAGGTAATATGAAATGATGACTCGATGAATCCAGATGCATCCATTATACAACAACTGACATTTACTTAACTTATCATCTTCATTTAAGAAGCTCTCTACATTAATGGAAACGTACACACACACAAACACACACACACAAACACACACACACACGTACACACAACAGACCACCTGTCCATATTTATTTCATAAATCCATCTGTATAATGTATATTAATTTTTTCCACGCATTCTCAACTTCCATATTAGGTACGGTTGAAGTAATAGGCAGAATATCGGCGGGCAAATTGGACATGTACGCCCAAAACAGGAAAAGGTCACACGGGGGTCCAGTAGAACACGTGACACAGATTTCTGATGACGTTCATGTCGTTGTTTTTAAAGACATAAATGGTTATTATTATTATTATTGTTGTTGTTGTTGTTATTATTATTATTATTGTGATAGGGGCAGAGTTTCTTTGCAGTCCAACTCGGTTTCGGCAAGAGCATGGCCAAGCAGCGCCTTAGCAAATTAAACCGTGAAATTATGAAATCATACACAGTGGAGTTATTGTTAATCACGATGAAATTATGATTTCGAGATGATGAAATTATGATGAGGTGATTATAATTAAATATAATTTTTCATAATTCTAGATGCACAATCTTTCTGCACGCACGATCATTGCGAATTTCTCAAGCTTGACATTCAGACCAAATTGCTGGACTCCTGGCCCGTGAATGTTCTCCCCAGAGCTATTAAAGTTTACTTATTTTTTCTGTCTCGTTATCGTCATCATTATCATCATCTCCATCGTCATTATCATCATCATCACCGTCACTACATTCCTCATCATCATCGTCGTCGTCATCATCGTCATCATCTAGGTTCAAGGTTTCAGAGTGGAAACAAAAGCAGAAGGGTTGAAGTTGTTTTTTGAGAACCCCCGCAGTGGAGGCACCGCCAATTCGGTGGCTGACGTCGTCATTCTTCAGCCAGATGTCGCCGTCGTCACTTTTAAAAATTCCGAAGGCACTTTTTTAATTGTTCATTTGTTTGTTTTGTTTTAGTTGTTTGTTTGTATTGGTTGTTTTATTTTTTGTTTGTTTTGGTTGTTTGTTTGTTTGTATGTTTGTCTGGTTTGGATAGTTGCAGAAAATAGAATTCTCTCTTTCTATTCGACCAGGCCACCACACCACAGCACAGCTTGATGAAGCATCATTGCAGATTTCCTTTCCCTAATTTAAATATAACTAATTTATATTTTCGTTAATTCTATTTTTAAATTGTTTTAAATTTCCGCCAAATAAATATTTCAGGATAACACTTATTTTTTTATTTTATTTTTATTTATTTTTTTTTCAAATTTGCAGTCATCAAAAACATCCTCTCCAAAGGCGATCTAAAATTAGCGGAAAAGGTTCTAAAAGCGGAAGTGATGAAACCCTACAGGCCGCCATATTTGTTGGCAGACGACGGTGCTACTATCGACCGCAACAAACTCATGTTCGTCAACTTGAAACAGAAAAAGTTGGACGTTGAACACTTCAAGATGTTTATTTCGGATCTGGCATGTTCGGATGTTGTTTGCTTGATTCTTAATGATTGTAGGGATAAAGCTATCGTAACGTTTTCAAAGGAACCTAGTTAGTTTTTGCCTGGTTTATTTGTTTGTGGGCGGTGCCTATGGTGTAATTGTGTGTGTGTGTTTAGTTAGTGTGTGTTTGTTTGGTGTGTGTTTGTTTGGTGTGTGTGTGTGTGTTTGGTGTGTGTGTTTTTCTTTCAATCCATTTTATTCACAAAAAAAAGAATGCGTCAGCCTAGCAATAAATGCTTATCCAGGATTGACTTCCATAAAACAATAAATAACAAAATATAGACATATATTATTAGAATAAATTTGTCTCATAAATACCTCCTTGTTCTTAAATTGTGTTGGTGTGTGTGTGTTTGTGTTGGTGTGTGTGTTTGTGTTGGTGTGTGTGTTGGTGTGTGTGTCGTGTCGTTTGGTATCTCTGAGAGAAGTGTCAAAGATAAAAATTTTGAAATGGCAATTGGTCATTTTAATTATTTCCAACTTAGCGGTCATCCTTCTCATCATCTTTACAATCGCACACACGCGCACAAACAAACACACACAAACAAACAGACACACACACACACTCACACAGATTACGTAAACTTGAAACATACATTATGCGCCGTTCCGTATCAAGGCGTTATGATATCTATGGACCCCCTAACGACCATAGATACAGTATCGATCCTGAAAAATCCGGAATTGGAACCATGCATAGTGAAATCGTACCTGGAAAATAAGAGGAGCCATGGCGGAGCTATTAAACTATTCAGGGAGGAAAAAGCCCGTTATATCGTCCAGTTTCATAATCCAAAAAGTTTGTGGAAAAGTTATTTGCTTTCTATGTTTTTTTTTGGGTGTTATTTCTTTGCACGCGCCAGTTGTGTTATGTTTTGAAGTTACAAACGTCAAATCGCTATATTTATGGTAGTGATAATTACAATAGCAATAATAATAATAACAACAACAACAATAATAATAATAATGTTATTATTTCTTTTATTATTTTAACTTTTGAAAAGGTGCCGAAAACCTGCTAGCGAAACCTGACGGACACGCTCTCAATGGAATAACTCTTACCATATCGCCCCATATTAATGGATTTAATAAATAATAATAACAATAATAAATAGTAATAATAATAGATAATAATAATAATAAATAATATTAATAAATAATAATTATAATTAAAATGATAATAACAATGATATCAATATCGACTATAGGTTAACGGTGATAATGAATTTTGGTTTCATTGTTATTTTGGCTTTTCAATATTAACACTGTTATTATTATTATTGTTATTATTATTGTTATTGTTATTGTTGTTATTCTGGATCAGACTATTCGATTGACTTCCTTGGTTCACTGGCTTATTGGCTTACTTACGAAATTACGAAACTATATGTACCTGACTATCGATCAATCAATCAATCAATATATCGATCTATCAATCAATCAATTAATCAATATATCTATCAATCAATCTATCTATCAATTAATCAATATATCAATCTATCTATCAATCAATCAATATATCAATCAATCAATCAATCAATCAATTAGCTTGTAAAGCGCTATTTCCGCGATGTTCAACGATGTTCCGCGACGATGATGATAATGATTGACTAATTTCTTCTGATGTCATACTGGAGGGGCATTATACAAGTCATCAAATACAAATGCAAATACAAAATTAAAAAACATTAAATAAAACTTATAAAATAAGTTTTTTTTTCCAATCATTTATTTGGTAAAGAAGAAATTCACTAGGAGATCTAAAAGAAAATCAACTCGTGCAGACCACCTTAATTAAAATGTAACTGAGGTTGGGTAAGTGACGTCACCTAAAAAAGATAAAATTTGAGATTTTTGAGATTTTTTTTCATTCGTTTCGTTTTTCTATGCGTTTCATGAAATAAACTTGTTTGAAAAAAAAATTGAACTGCACCGTAGTGAATCAGCCGGTATAAAGGTTATATTCAATTCCTATCAGATAAATTTGATCAAATATTGATCAAATCACCCAAAACTAAATGAAGAAATAGAGCGATTGGTAGATATATGTGGTTATCATACATTTATAATGTTATATTTATACATTAAAATTGTGTTAAGTTGTGGTTTCCAGTTTAATCTGCTTGCGTGTATACGTAAAGTTAATTACAGTTGTATTATAGTAGGTTTATATAATGTCCGAAAGTTTCGAAGGATCGTTCGTTAGCGTCAATTTAGCTTGATTAGGATTGTTGTTGTTATTTTTGTTTAACTCTTCATTTTCTCAATTCTCTAATACATATCTGACGACATTCACACATACGCAAGAACATATATAATCAAATAGATGAAGTTTTTGGTTTGACAGAAACGCACCAGAGGAACCGACCTTGACATTTAAAAAATTTTACTTTTAATTTAATTTAATTTCATGCACACAAACGCGCACACATACATTCATGCTAAGCACACACACAATCACATACATGATGTTTGCGATTTAGCAAAAACACATCAAAGAAACCGACCTTGACATTTAAAAAAAGATTTAAATAAAATCCAAAATACGGCAATGGTTTACTATCCGGTAGGGCACAAATACACACACACATACACACACACACACGCACGCACGCACACGCATATATATAAATATATAAGCGGAAAACCCTACAATTTCCGTAAAAACAACGACCTAACTATTAACACAAACAACGCTCACGAGAAGGGTACTGGCCCCCTGGCACCCCCCCTTACATCCGGTACCGATAATTGTAGTAGTAGTGGTAGCAGCAGCAGCAGTGTTTATAGCAATAGGTAGTTGTAGCATTATGTTGAATTATTTAGCTGTGCTTTTTGTTCGTAAATTTTTTCCCATTTTAATAGGCGCTCTGACAATATCTTATCTGTTGCTGATCATAACCTGCTATTGTTGTTACTATTATTGTTGTTGTTGTTCATGTAGCTCAAGTTATATTATATTTTATAATTAAATGTAATTACCTGTAATAATTTTTTAAAATATCTCCACTCGTTAACTTGAACTATTTTGAATTCTTTAGCCAATAAAAATGACCTCGTTATTATTACTGTTATTGTTGTTATTATTACTAATATTGTTATTATTATTATTGTTGTTGTTGTTATTGTTGTGGTTATTATTGTTGTTGTCGATTTTGCCGGTGATGTTTCTATGTTAAACATTGACCCATTAGCGTTATATCGTTATTAGCTTTCAGTCAGGGTCGACTCTGAAGGACCATGTCGTGAAGTTGGATTGGTGATGGCCGGGATGAAGTGGCGGATGATGAGATGGGATGGGTTAATTGGTGGTCATTGGCACCGGCGCTGAGGGCTATACATTAGAGTGATAGACAGATACATATCGCTTTTTATATTCGATTATTTTGTTACCGATACGATACTATAGTTTACTTTTATTGTTGTTGTTGTTATTATTATCGTGATTATTTTTATATTTTTTTTATTGTTTTTTTAATACTATTTCATATTATTATTCTTTTTTGGACTTTTAAATTATTATCACACACTAGATATGAGCACATGGATTTAATTCAACGCTCTTTATTTAAATGTTTTGTTATGTTATGCTATATCTATTGTCACCATTGTTATACGTGTTGCTTGTTAGCTTGTTATTGCCAGCCAAC